TCCTTCAAATTCAATGCGAGACCATCACCTGAATCTGATTGAATCTTAATAAACTAAGAGACAAATGTACTCTCTAGGGTACTTAGCATCTTACTCCACAGTTAATAAGAGTTTAGCATACTAAAAAGGTAGTAGAATATTTATGGGAAATTGATCATACCTTGGGTACAGTTCTTGCCATCGTAGCCAGCGACACAAGAGCAATTATAGTCATTTACTCTATCGATACAAGTTGCTCCGTTTTTGCAAGGGTTAGGGGTGCACTCGTCGATATCTGAAAAACAGAAGTACTTGTTTCATGAATCAAGTTCCCCTGTTCCTTGTCAGAAAGTTGCAAACCAAACGGAGGGCATAAATGCCGTGTAACGGGTTGCTTTCCAGGAAGACAAACGTTGATGTTTTTCAGTCAAAAAATTCTATCAAATGAGAGAACTCTTATAAAAAAGCTCTCATACCTTGGTCGCAGTCATTTCCATCGTAGCCAGCCATACAGGTGCAGGTGTAGTCATTAATTTTATCGCTACATGTTGCACCGTTCTTGCAAGGATTAGCGTCACATTCATTGATATCTGAAAGGTAAAAAAACCAATTAACTGAAAGGGGGATTTATTGAATAGGCCAACTTCCTTGAAATTGCGTAAAATATCTCTGAGAATAAACTAGATGCAAAGAATTAATATCTTTTTCCAAGTTAAGGGGACAAGACAGAAATAATCCATCATACTTTGGGAACAGTTCTTGCCATCGTAGCCAGCAACACAGGTACAAGTATAGTCATTTACTTCATCGGTACAAGTTGCTCCGTTTTCGCAAGGATCAGCGTGACAGTCATTGATATCTGAAAAATACAAATGAAACTTGAACGATTCAATTTTCCTTCCGAAACTGAGTGTATACATGCGAAGTGTGGGTTTCGTGTAGGGCAAGAAAAGAAAAGAAAAGACGATAGAACTTTGATTCAAATCCACGAGTATGGAGCCTTTTACTTGACAAATAAGTAAACAAGGAGCAATATGATCTTTCCTACTTTGAGAACAGTTCTTGCCATCGTAGCCAGGCATACAGGTACAAGTATAGTCATTTACTTCATCAGTACATGTAGCACCGTTTTCGCAAGGATTAGGATTACAATCATCGGTATCTGAAAAATACAAAAAAGTGTTCGCACAATAAAATATTCCAATGGAAATGAGTGCACAAATTCAACATAATTATGTAGGTTTCGTGTACGGGAAAAGAGAAATTCCAACTTCGATTAAAATCATCGTCTAATTTATTTGTGGAGGAAACAAACGCTGTAGAACCACGTGGATGTCGCCTTATTCGCTAGAATCAGTTAAGTAATCTTGAAGGAAAGAGATCTGTAGCTATCATACTTTCAGTACAGTTCTTGCCGTCGTAGCCAGCCATACAGGTACAAGTATAGTCGTTTACTTAATCGATACAAGTTTAACCTTTTCACAAAGATCAGGGTGACAGTCATCGATATCTCAAAGAGAGAGACAATTTTATCTCACTTAATTTTTCCCCATCCAATATATTTCCAATTCAACTGTCAGTGAAACTTATTACGTCAATAGAGAATCTATTGAGCCTTTTTTCGGGAAGAAAAACAAATTCCAACCTTATTCTGTAAAATGAAATGAACCAGAAGGAAAACTTTTCAATTGTAGATCACTTTTTACAACTTAATGGACTAGTCAGAAAATAATGTCGCATACTTTGGGAACAGTTTTTTCTATCGTACCTAGCCACACAAATGCAAGTAAATCCGCGTGCATGTAGTCTTATTCTCTTTAGAATTAAGTAATTTTGAAGGAAAAAAGATCGATATATAGCTATCATACTTTGAGAACAGTTCTTGCCATCATAACCAGCCATGCAGGTACAAGTAAAGTCATTTATGTCATCAGTACAGGTGCCACCGTTTTCGCATGGATCAGGAACACAGTCATCGATATCTAAAAAAATAAAAATGATTGCGAACAATTTAAAAATTACTGGAAATCCAGTGTATATATTCAAATACTAAATATCGTCAAAGAGAAAAAAAGAGATTCTAACTCCATCAAGACGATTGCGTTTCTTACTCTAAAAAGTCGGAGGCAAAAGACCTTAAAATCTTAAGAGGAAATGTGACCAAAAATCGAACATTTTCAAAATTTGGTGGCAACAGCCGAAAAATCGATTCGGCTCATATTCTCAAGTTAGGTAGTCCTTATAGTGAAACAAAGCACTGCATACTTCGTTTGGCTGAATATCGATTTATTTTCGAGAAAATCAACAAAAGCTGAATTTCGTCCAAATGCCACTTTTGAAGCTCAAAATTTCGGACGAATCTTGGAGCTTAAGGGTCAGAGTTCTGTTTGTCGTAGTACAGTTGCTGAAGAACATTTTTAACCTGGTGTATATTGC